AAATTCAATCAACTTTTATTCGTATAGTAAATAATTATCACCAATGTCATTTATATTTAGAAACTAATAAAAGCATACGTAGCAAATTATCTCTAGTATCACAGGTAGAACAATAAATCTTTTCGAAAAGTATTCTTTCAAAAACCTTTGGTATGATATGATATGCAACCTTTCTAAATATCTTTTAAATATTTTCCAAACTCTTAAAATTACCTATGAAAGAGATACGAAAATATTGGGAAAAGTTGCATATCACATCAAAGATTTTTGAAAGAATACCTTTAAAAAAGGTTTATTGTTCTACCTGTGTATATGAGTGCTGCCAAAGGAAAACGGGACATCTGTACATAAATTTATACTTTAAAAAACCATTTCCTTGGCTGCACTCATATATGGTAATAATTTTCATATTTTATCCATATTATGTATTAGTTTGTGGCTTGATTTTAAAACTTAAATACATTTAATTCTTTTTCGCGTGCATATCATTTTTTATCAAATACAATATGGTATCTTTAAACTTTTGTTATTGAAAAAGGTTTATTTTTCTGTTATCGATTTTTAAAGTGTTCTATTGTGATCTTAGTCTTCAACATGCGAAGTTGATCCGGAAGTTTTACAAAAACTTAAAAAATTTAGGTTTGGAAAAAAGTCTCAAAAAGGGACTTCAGCTTTTGTTTGTAAGTTTTTTAAAATCAAGTTCAATCGTTTCTAGACCATTTTTTTAAAAATCAAAGTCCCTTTTACTTAAAAGTAAAGGTTGATATGGAGAAGTTATTAGTCATCGAAGATGTATTATATGATGAGATATCTTTAGAAGATCTTGTTGAAGGTGTGATATTATAGTTATTTGATGCGAAGCAGCCAATAACGGAATTATTTGTAAAATAATTCATTATCTGGCTGTGAAATTTAATGTGCAATCTTCTGGGCTCCGAAGGAGCCCCAGAAATGACGCATATTAAATTCGCTGCCAGATAAACAAGTTATTGACTGCGTAGCATTCAATAACGGTATTATCAGGTAGCTTACGATGACCGAACCAACAGAATGACTCGAATTCTTTTGGTGATGATCTCATCATCATCAAAATAACTCGAGTTATTCTGTTGGTACGATCATAGTAGGCTGCTGGATAATGATTTTCCTTTACACACAATTGAGTCTTGTTATCTTATAAAAAGTTTGTTTTAAGAACTTCCCGAAAATGCTCCAAGATACATTGTACTAAGTTATGAGGTATAAAACGTAGTGAAAAGGTATTCTTTAATCTTGGTTTCATCATCATTTATTTTAACATTTACTACATTTTCATTGATAGCTATCTCATCGAGATGGTCGTAAGTCATACCCGTTAGTTCTAATTTATTATTCACCACCTTCAACGAAACCTGAGATACATATGCTGGTATTTGTTTTATTTCTTTTACGTTGGTTATATCACATGTTATAGGTTTTTATACTTTTTGCGATCATAATAGTATGCGAGTGCAAAAACATACTTTCAACAAAAAGCTGATTTAAACAAGGTAAGAGATTAATATTCGGTTCAATCATATTTATAAAATATTAATAATTATTAAACTTTTAGGTTTTTGACATTAGAGAAGCCGAGGAATTGACTAACGAATGGTTACAAGAAAAGTTACTTTAACGCTTATTCATATTTACATAGTTTTTTTATAGTTATAAATTATTATTTTTTTTTATTTTTTTTTTATTTTTTTTTTTTCGAAATATGTTCATGATATAACAGTTTTTTATTTTAAAAAACTGAGAAAAAAACTTTTTGATTAAAATCACGAAAATAAAGACTTGGAGCTGTAAAGCTGCACAATTATATAAATACTATCGATGAAAAAAAATTATTCTTAAACCCAAATTATAAAAAAAATACCTACATATATGACCCATCTCGGTGAATATTCATTATTAAGAGTTCATCTATGAAATGAATGCAATACAACCACATAATTAGATGTTCTTCTTACACGTCCTTCCTTGATTTATCTACTAACTATGTCAGTTCCCGCCATCTACGTTATTCTCATTTTAATAAAATGTTTTTGATAACCATTCAATTTAAGATTCATTAATGAGTGCGACGATCATTCTATAGTATAACAGATCATAAAAATATAGATTAGTAAATATTGATTGATAAATTGATTCATTTTAAAAATTTGTTAAAATTTCAAGTGTAAGGAATTAGTACGCATATAGTCGTACTTATTACAAATTTCAATAAAATGTTTTATGTAATTGATCGATTATTAAATATCCGTTTGATCATTCTTATCGGCATTACTTTTTACATATCATCGATTTCTATATAACAATTTTATGTAATTTGTCATACCTGTATAAGTAATAAAAGAAACAGACAAGATAAAATCCAAGTTTTATGAAACACTCTTTTTTGTGCTGTCCAAGAGTTCGAAAAATCTCTGTAGCATCATACATATGTCGATTATTGGTAATTCTAAAATTAAAAATGGTTAAAATTTTTAATTAAATTTTAATTAATTATATTGAGAAAATCTCAATTTACATAAACTTACTTCTGAACATTATATGCGACTAATGGTGCATTAATTGCAAAAGCTATCCAGCTTCCATTGATAAAGAACGCAAAGTTGAGAAAGGCATGGGCCAACATTTCTGGGAGAACAAACTGATTTTATATAATTATTGTTAGTATTCTTATACTACTTTAAGCATACATTCGAAGAATTTGGAAAATTTACTTGATTCAATTTGTTACAAAGATCAATGGGATTGATATAATCACATTCAAGATCTGAAAACATGATTGTCTATTCATGCATAGCAAAAAAAGGCTTAAAGATTATGGATAAAACAAACCATGACCAATATTGAGAAAGTAAAGATTTAGCATAAAGTATGCTTGTCTTAAAAGAAAGCTTGTTAACCAATTCTTAATTTTAAGGATACGAAAAAGACCATCATAAAAAGCAAGGCAGCTGCCATAATGGTGCCAAAAAGAAATAGTAAAGCTTCACCAGGCATGATTGTTGTATTTGTTTATTATTTAACACTTATTTATCATAAAAGAACAACGAAGCGAAGTTTATTGATAAAGA